GAAGTTCAAATGACTGATAAACACATGCAAAGATATTCAACATTGCTGGCCATTTGAGAAATCCAATTTAAACAACACAGATTCTATTTCACTTCAGGATGAATGGTTATTTTCAAGCAATCAAATCATAACAAATGCTGGAGTGGTTGTGGGGAAGAAAAAGGAACTCTTTTTTTCATTGTTGATGGGAGTGTAAATTGGTATAATCGCTATGGAAAGCAGTATGGCATTTCCTTATAAAACTACAAGTAGAAATTCTGGGCCGGCCAAATAGCTCAGTGGATTAAAGTTCCTGCAAGGAGGCACAGAGGCCAGGGGTTTGATCTCTGAGCCTGCTATGCCAGCTCTGCCCCCAGGGCATACTAAGATGACAGTTGACACTGGGTGTGATGGTGCACTCTTGTAATCCCAGCTCTTGGGAGGCTGTAAACAGGTGGATCACTATAGGTCCGATCTAGTAGTGAGGCCCTGTAGGCCCTGTAGACCCTTCCCTAAAATATTAAAAAAAAAAAAAAAAAGAAAAAGAAAAAAGAAATTCCATTTGACTGGACTATTCTCCTCCTAGGCATCTTCCAGAAAGAATGGATGACACCATATTACAGTTTTATTTGCATGCCCATATTTACTGCAGCACAACTTATATTAGCTAAATCTTGGTTGGTTGTAACCTATGTGTCCATCAACAAATGAATTGATGAAGAAAGTGTGGTATCTATACATAAAGAAGTGCTATTCTGCCATTAAGCTGGATAAATTTGAGTCATTGTAGGGAAGTGGTGTACCTTGAGATCATAAAGTTCAATGAAATAAATCAGACACAGGCTTAAATTTCACATGGTTTCTTTTATATAAAAAACCCAATATCTAAAGTGTAAAATAGAAGAAAATAGAAAAACAAAGTTATTGTAATCCAGCACGGCTAATATATCTAAAAATGTACCTTGATTTACTATAATTATTTTATGTGTTTTATATGTTTGTATATGTTTTTTGGTCTGTTAGTCTAGTTGTTTATCTGTGTTGATAATTGATAAAGACAAATCTGATGCTGCCATTGCCCAGAAAAATGGCCAAGGAAATATATTGACGTATTAATGAAGATAGGTTATAAATACCTTTAAATTTTTTTTAAATTTTCTATTTTTTTAATTTAATTTAATTTTTTAAAATAGTACCAGGTATTGAACTCAGGACCCTGCACTTACCAGGCAAGCACTTATTCTACTGAGCTATCTCCCTGGCCCCTAAATTTTTTTTAAATGTATTTGTTACAGGGTTTCACTATGCAGCTCGGGCTCATAGTGAACTGCCTGTTTTCTGCCTCCCCAGAGCTGGGATTACAGGTGTGTGCCACCATGCCTGGACTCTGTGGCCCGCTCAGCATGCCCAAGGGTGGGGCTGGCACAGCATGTGGTGCTGGGGATTGAACCCTGGTCCCTGTGCTTGCCTAAGCAGGCACTAAGTGTGCTGAACTATCTCGCCAGCCTTATGACTTTTAATTTTTGAATATTTTTCCTTGTTCCCACATCTCTACCATAAACATTTAATAGGGTGTTTTTGTTTTTTCTATTTAAAGAAACAATCTATAATTATAAGACTAAAAGAGACCTGGTTTAAGAGTAAAAAGACCAAAAAGGTGTGGGACTGGTGAGCTACATCAGCAGACTAAGTGCCTGCTTAGACAAGTGCAGGGACCAGGGTTCAATCCCCAGCACCACATGCCATGCTCAGCCACAGAGACCAGGTGTGGTGACTCATGCCTATAATCTCAGCGCTGGGGAGGCCGAAAACAGGAGGGTCACTACAAGTCTGAGCTGCATCGTGAGATCCTATACCCAAAAAAAAAAAGACCAAAAAGGTGTGTTTTAGTTCCTGCTTGGTTAATTAATATGACTAGCTCCTAAGTATGGTTTTAGTATTTTAATAAAAATACAATAAAAATGATATGGTGGTAGTTCATTTATGTATAATTCTAGGTAGCACAGTAGATTACATAGTTTTCCATTACTATAACAAAAACCTCAGTCTGTGTATTTAATAAAAGATGTTCACATAATTTGTAACATTATAAACATAGCACTGGTGCATCATTTTGGCTGTGGTAAAGCCTTCAGGATGGATAGCATCTTGTCAGGAATGCCTCTAAGAGGAAGAAATCACTTGATGAGATAAGCCGGGAGAGACTGTGGAGGGGCTTGTGTTGCTTTTTTATGACAACCTTTTCACAGGAATTTACCAGGGCTCCCAAATGAGGAAGTACAAATAACCAATAAATACATTCAAAAAAATGTTCAACTTAATCTCTTCTGAGAGTGGTGTCTCCAGTGATCTTTTCCTAAGTTCCACCTCTTAATGGTTCCAGCAGCTCTCACATCACTGTACTGGTGATCAAGCCTCTAACTCTTGGGGACCAAACCATTCGATACATTTTGAAGTAAACTTTTGTTCAAATAAACAACTGCCTTAACCCAAATACCTTGTAACAAATTGGGTTTTCTTTTCTGGAGAAGACTTTAGGCCATGATTGCATTGACATATACTTAAAGGGGTGGGGTGCACATGGAAGAGGCATTGGATTTATTCTCTTAAAATACCTAAATTTATGTCTAACAGAGGAAGCAGAAGAAAAATACAGGGAAGCAATTTTTAATTAAGGAAGACTTTCCTGTCACTGAGTTCTTCTTACTCCAGATAAATAATGATCTCATTTAGGGTAGAAAGACTGTAAAATTGTTGCAATAGTAAAAGTATTACTGTTGAATAGGACTTTTAGATATTCTTGTGGAGTCTAGCTTCTTATAAATAAGCCATAGAAATTCTGTGAATATGTAGAAGATATTATGAAAGTAAAATTCAGATAATTGAAGTATAATTTTAAAATATTCCCCCACATATTTCATATGAAGCACCATATTTTATCATTTTAGAATTCACTGACTTGTTCTTATGTGCTATTTTACTTGACTTGGTACAGATCTCTGAAACATATTTCTGTCTGCCAGTTTGACTTTTCTGTGTGGAAGACCAGTTATATACTATTTATATCTGTGTGTCTTGAATCTGTATATGTGCTGTTGAAGTGAGCACAATGTTTGTCTATGAATCTGGAGTTTTCTGAGTATTTTCTAACAAAAACAAAATACAGAAATCATTTGGATACTGAGAATGATCCAAGACTATAATTATCAGTATCATCTGAGACTAATATTAGACTGTATTCTTTAAACTTTCAGGTTTTTGGGTTCATCAAGATGTTTTCTGTGATTGATTTATTCTTATATACTGTTTTGCTCATTTTATATATGAGAATCTCATTGGAAGTTGTTTGAAAGAATTCTGATGCTAAAAAAAAATTGAAGATGCCTGATATGAAGAGTAGTCAGTCCTATCTATTAAATATATTTTAAATATGCTGACTTTTTATTGTGTCATTTTGTGCAAACAACATCAAAATTTTTCTGCTTGATCACTTAATTCCCATTTTGGATCCTATAATCTAGTCTCCACAAAGTAGCTAGTATGTTCTTTAATGTAAATCAAATAATAATATGTCCTTGCTTAAAACTTTTAATTATGCCTATTCCTTTCATTTTTGACATTTTAAAAATCTCTCCTCAAAGCCATAAATTTACAAACTTGTTTGCTGTCTCACAATTTTTTTCTTTCTTCTACCTGGAAAACTCTTCATCCCATTCTTTACCTGGTAGTTCTTTGTTCTTTATATTTCAGTTTAGGGGGCCTGGCCTTAGCTCAGTTGTTTAAGTGGCTGCTTCCACAAAGCTGTCAGCCTCAGGTTGCTGTAGTTCGATCCCCACAACACTCCAGCCAGCCAAACCACCCCTTAGGGCATTTAGAGCAAAAAAAACAAAACAAAAACCCTTATATTTCAGTTTAAAGACTATTTCTTTCAAGTAGAGGTTACTTGAAGTACTTTCAAGTGGAGGTACCTTTAAGTACTCTGGGTTAGAGCTAGGTACTGGGGGTGTCCGGCCAGCTCAGCGGGCTAACATGCCTGCTTAGTCAGAGCACAGCAGCCAGGTTTTGATCCCTCCTCATCCAGGCTTTGATCCTGCTTGTGCTGTGCCGGCCCCACTCCATGGGGTGCACTGAGACAGCAGCACTGGATGTGGTGATGTGTGCCTATTATCCCTGCACTTTGGAAGCTGAAAACTGGAGAATCACTACAAGTCTGATCTACATAGTGAGACACTGTCCTAAATACGGGGGGGGGGGGGAGGAACTAGGTACGGTTGCACCCTTTCTACTTTTAAGCACTTTAGAGACATTCGGAACTAGACCAAGAAGGGGAGTGTTATTTTATTTAGTACTACATTCTACAGCATAGTAAGCTTTTAAACAAAAATTTTTGAAGGGATTTATGTGATTATGTTTTCAAAACTAGGAAGAATGTGAGGCACTTAATAAGAGCAAAGATTTAAGTGGAAAATTGTTTAGCAGGGTTTGGTTCTTTATAATTATTTTACAAAATTAATAAAATCCAGGTAGAATAGGTTAAATGGCTTGGCTAAGTTTACGCTACTGTTAAATGTTGGCACTAGACTAATTCTACTAAATCTTTCAACTCTACAATAATTTGTTTCAAAGTAAAGAATAGAAAACCTGAACAGTTGTTTAGATAAGGGGAAAAGTGATTTTTTTTTTTTTTAGATAAGAAGTGTGGAAATAGGCAGTTCAGAACTCTTTTAGCTGCTTCATGGTCACAAGATGGTTATTAATCCTCCAGGCATCAACTGGATGAAGCAAAAATGTAAAAAGGTAAGGGAATATCATATGCCATCTTTGCTAGGTGGGGCCTTTGGAAATCTTTTCTGTAGGAACCAAACTTATATTTTATTGACTAGAACTCTCACATGGCCTTTGTAGCTAGAAAATGACCAATGATAATGAATGGTGTTGGCATATTGTGCCCTCATTACTTCATGTCTTTTAGCGTGATGGTCCAAGTGCCTACATCACAATTAGTGCATTGTACCTTTCAGATTTACCTTGGTGCAGAAGCATACAGTAGAATTTAACCAGGTGGCAATGGCTAATTCAGATGGATCTGAAGCTATGCTGAACAGAGTGATGACTAAAGATAACATTGGTGTCGCTGTGGTATTAGAGGTCCACAAAGAACTATTTGGAGCAGGTGAGTGCAACTTAAAATATTGTTATTAAAACCAATTACCATCCCAAGTTTTCTGATGTCAAAACAAGTGCAGAGAATTTTATTTATTGCAAAGTTACTTTCTTGTCTTTTAAGGCAAGTCAAATAAGATAAAGGAAAAACTCAGCACCAATTTTAAAAAGCATCCTGTGTTTTGGAATTTGAAATGCATTTCTGCCAGTCCTTTTTACTTAACAGTTGGAAGGTATAAAGTCTTTGTAATATGCTGCTAATACAAAGGTTTCTTGGAAAGAGGGAATATTTTGGTTAAGCTGAATGTAGAAATTCCAATGAATTTCTTTAAGAAGTCTTTAAGATTAAATACTTATCATGTTTCCTTTAATTTCTTTGTTATACCTCAGTCATTGTCATAATAAATGTGGAATCTTTTTTTACTATGTGGTATATTTCTTCAGCTTTTTACATTATATTTATAACTTCAGAATTGGAAACTCATTATATACTTCGTATTACTCAGACATTTTTTTTTGCCTTCTATTGCCTGTCTTTGAACATTTCATTGTTAAGTGGTATATTTTAAGCCAGAGCATGGAGGTGAGGCCACACATTAAGATTTTTTTCTTCCTGCACTTTTTGCCTTGAATATTGGCTTGAGTTACTCAGGCCATGTATATGTCAAACCTCCTTTTTCCTGACATTCTTCCTCTTATTCTTTAACAAAGTGTTTTGCATGAGATTTTGAATTGTCTTCTGTTTTTTTAGCCTATTTTCAGTGTGCTCATAGGTCTGTTCCAATCCCATTCTTTTAGTACTTTTTGTTTGGTGTTATAGAAATTGAGTTTATTTAGGAGTGTCACTCTCCTTTCTACTTGCAGAAAAGAAATTCTGTAGTGTAGATACCTCACAGATATATTTTGTGAAATACGTATCACTTGTATTCCTGGAAAGGGAATTTGGTAGTATAGAAAGTGATTGTGTTTCCTTTGATGGGACAGATTTTTAATATTTGAAATAATGAATAGTTAAGCCATAAATGACACTATAAAACTTCTAGAAAAACAGTTTAGATTTTGGCTGCAAGTATTTATCTTTTGATCAGGTTGTATTGAAAATGATTCTTGTCACATATAATAGATAACTTCCATTAGTTGCTTTTTCAACATTGAAGGTAATTATCTTGGTAATATGAGAAGGAAACTTTACCAAAACAGTAGACTTAGAAAGTTAGGTCTAGAGTTGCTATTTCAATAGAAAAACATAAGGGACATTTTTATAAAATTTTAAGTAGTAAAACTAAATTTGGATAATCACTGATGTGTTAGCAATACAAAAGCATAAAAAATTAAAAAGTGATAGTCATCCCCCCATCTCAAACATTCTCTTAAAGAAAACTTTTGTTCATTTCTCTATATAGGTCCTACCATGCATACTGAGCTTTATTCCTTAAGTATTTTATAGACATCTTTCTGTAAATACATATTTTAAGTATACTTTTCACAATCCTTAATGTATTATTTAATGGTCCACCATTTGGAAAGTATTATTTTGATGTTTATCTTGACAAACGTAGAATTATGGGGAATAAAAGAACCTTAGAGATTTTGTAGTTGAGTTTTCTCACTTTTCACATGTACAAAAGAAAGTGACTAACTGGCTTAAAGTACTACAAATAATTAATTTAAAAAGCCAGGTATAACACACAAGTGCCAGAACCTTCAAGAGCACACTACACCCTAGTTTTCATTTTTTTGAAAATTAATTTTATTGGTACATTTTAGATATACATAACGAACACATTAATCATAGAGAAATTGTACCTGTACATGATATATCTTGTCACTGCCCCCTTCCCCTACCCTCCCTGCAACCTCTCTTGCACTCCATTTACAAAAGATTTGTTTCTGTTTTTTCTTTTCTTTTTTCTTGGTTCTCCTTCTCCTCTCCCTAGTTCCTTTTTCCATTCGAACATTCTTTTCCCACTTCACAATACCTGTTATACATTTTGGTCCTTATTTATAGTTTTTAGTTCTCATACCAGAGAAAAATGTGGTATTTACACATGTGTCCATTTTATTTCATTTAAGAGTGTGCTCTCAGGGCCAGCCAAATAACTCAACAGATTATAGCGCCTGCTTAGGCAGATGCAGGGGCCTGGAGTTCAATCCTGGGCCTGCCATGTTGGCCCCGGCCCTGTCCCCGCCCCTGGGGCACACCAAGACAGTGATTAAGGCTGGGCATGGTGGCATGCTCCTGTAATCCCAGCACTTGGGAGGTTGTAAAACAGGAAGGATCACTAGAAGTTCAGTGAGACCCTGTAGACTCTGTACTAAATACATACATACCCCCCCCAAATATATATATATATATATATATATATATATATATTTTTTTTTTTTTTTCATTCTCTCTCTCAAGGTACATCTGTTTACCTAGAACTGTCTCAAGATTATCCTGTATGGCTGAGTAGTGCTCTGGTGTATTAAAGAACCACATTTTTATCCATTCATTGATTGATGGACATTTGGGTTGTTTCCAAGATTTAGCTATTATAAGTTGTACTGCTGTAAGCATGGGTACATGTGTATCACAATGCTATGATTTTAATTTTTCTGGGAAGATACCCAAAAGGAGAATTGCTGGGTCAAATGGGACCTGTACTGCTAGTTTTTCTAAGAATCGCCACGCTTACTCCCACAGTGGTTACACCAGTTTACACTTTCACCAATAGTGGAGAAAGGTTCGTTTATCCCCACATTATTGTTAGCATTAGTTATTGGTTAATTTCTTGATAATAGGCGTTCTTTCTGGAGTGAGATGAAATCTCAGCATTGTTTTAATATGTACCTTTCAAATGATCAGTGATGTTGAACACTTTTTCATGTATTTGTCTGCTGTTTCTATTTATTCATCTGAAAAGTATCTGTTCATTTCAAATGTCCATTTTTGGAGTAGGTCTTTAAGTTTGGGGGAGAGATATAATTTTTTTAGTTCTTTATATACTCTAAATATTAGTCCTTTGTCTGAGGAACATCTGGCAAAATATTTTTCCCACCCTATGGGTTATATCTTCATTCTGTTAGTGATTTCTTGTCCTGTGCAAAAGCTGTTTAATAAGATGAAATCCCAGTAGTTGATTCTTTGTGATAGTTCCTGTGCTATTAGGGTTTTAGTCATAAAGCCTTTGCATACACCAATGTCTTCAAGAGTTCTATTTTCTCTTCCAGTCTATTTAGTGTTTCTGTTTTGATATTTAGATCTTCGATTCATTTCAATTTTAGGTTTTTTTTTTTTTGCATTTTGGGGAAGGGCCTACAGGGTGTTCAGAGTCTCACTACTAGATCAGACTCATAGTGATCCGCCTGTTTACAGCCTCCCAAGAGCAGGGATTTCAGGCACACGCCACCACACCCAGTTTCAATTGCTGTCTCAGTGTGCCCACAGGGCAGGGGTTGGCATGGCAGGCCCAGGGATCAAACCCCCGGCCTCTTTGCCTGCTTGCAGGCACTTTAATCCACTGGCCCTCATTTTGAGCTATTTGGCTGGCCCTCATTTTTAGTTTAATGCATGTTGAAAGCTATGAGACTACTTTTAATCTTCGGTATGTGGAAAGTCAGTTTTTCTAGCACCTTTTATTAAAGAGGCTTTCTTCTAGGGAGGAAAAAATGTTTAACATCTTTGTCAAAGATAAGGTGGTTGAGTGTGTTTGGTGTTGTTTCTGCATCTTCTAATCCTTTTCATTGATCTTTGGGTCTGTTTTTTTTTAAACTCATTAACTTTATTGAAAATCAGTAATTGTATAGCAAATTAAAAATTACAGACAAATACTGAAATGTGAAAGATAAGATGTAGACAGGGAATTTTAGAAAAGTATTTCTGAAATGAATGCATGAGATTAATAATAGATTGCACATTGTAAATAATTTACAAATGAATATAAGAATAAAAATTGTCTAAAACATGAGGAAGAGTTTACAGATCAGTCATATAATAGTTCACTGTGTCAAAATCAAGAAACTTATATTCATATAGTTAGAATTCTCAAAGTAGATTGGGGTCAGCAATAAATAAAGATTTAAGATTTCTGAATTTAGTTAAAATTATAGCACCACATTTCAAGAAAAACCTTTTGCTCAAGAAATATGAATAAAATCATACCAACATACACAAAAATGAAATTGTCCAAAACTAATTGTAAAGAAAAAAATCATTAAAACATATACATAGAAAAAAATATTAGCTATGGAAGAACAAAATTAAATAACATCTTATTCCACATTAGAAGAAAAAGAAAAAGAGCAAGTGGGTAAGAAACTAGACTTATTTATTCAAAGGACTGAAAAAAGAAAAGATCTGTCATCATTGAATTTTATACTTAGCAAACATACCTTTGAAAACTAAAAGTAAAATATTTTGCAGTTATACAAATTCAAAATATTCTAATACCTCCAGACATAGCATATAGAAAATAATAAAGACCATAATCCAGAAGGCAAAAGAAATTGCTGTATGGTCCTGGATAAAGAATAAAGAGTTCTCAGAATGGTCATTATGCAGGACTATGTAAAATATATTAGAGGAACCCATTTAAAAGGTCATTGAAGATTTCCACAAATCAGTATATCTCTTATGTCAAATTACATACATATTTGTGTGTGTGTGTGTGTGTGTGTGTGTGTGTGTGTGTAAGACAAAGAAAAACTAAAGTCAATCAAAAATGGAAATACCCTTTTTTTTTTTTGTATTTAGGACAGGGTGTACAGGGTCTCACTGTGTAGATCAGACTCTTAATGACCCTCCTGTTTACAGCCTCCCAAGTGCTGGGATTACAGGTGTGTGCCACCACGCCTAGTCTCAATTGCCATCTCAGTGTGCCCCCCCCAGGGCGGGGCCAACAGGGTATGCACAGGGATTGAACCCCCGGTCCCTACACCTGTTTGCAGGTGCCTTAATCTGCTGAGCTATTCTGCTGGCCCTACTTTAAAGTTTTTAATGCTAGGAGAAAATATCATACCATGTCTTACAAGTAGATTATAATTCAAAGAAACAGTATAAATCATAAAAAAAATTAAAATTAAATATTCAGAAAATTAAATATTAATTCAAAGTTAAATATTTTAAAATATTCAAAAATTAAAATTAAATTGTGAGTCCAACTAAGAGGCCAGAATATAGTGTATCATATGTACAAATCTGTGATCAATTCAGAGAACTCACACACTGTTTGATTAGGTTAATATATACAAAAATATCAACTAAGACAAAGTTTTCATAGTAGTGAAGAATTACTAAGAATAAAACATAACGAAAATACTGGAATGGCAAATATATGACCAGCATTTCTAACAGATTGGGGATGGGATATCACACAAAGTTCTAGTATGTGGTGAACGTGGGTAGTGTCCATGATGCTTACTGGTGGCCAGGTGTTATTTGTGGGACTGAGCTATTGCTATTTCCTTGATATCCACCCTGTAGACCTGGACAGAATCACAACTCATAGGGTGCAGGAGAAGTCCATTTGTAGAGTATGCTGATGGAAATAGTTTGCTGCTATATACAAAAGAATAATTGAAAAACTGCTGTTGTATACCTCTTTTTCTCCTGTGTTTGTTTGCCCTATTTGGTGGATTCTTTTGATTTTCATTCATGGAGTTGTCATTTTTATCCCTTTCTAGAATATCTTTTAGTGGTCTCTGTAGGGTTGGCTTTGTGTCATGAAACTCTTTAGTTGTTCTTTGTCATGGAAGTATTTCATTTCTCCATTGAACTTGAAAGAGAGTCTTGTAGGTTATATCAGTCTGGGTTAGAATTTCTTTTCTTGCAAGACCTGAAGCACCTTACTCCATGCTCTTCTTGCCTTGGTGGTTTGTGAAGAGAAGTCTGCCATTATTCTCATGGGTTTTCCTTTAAATGTGATCTGTTTCTTTTCTCTAGTGGCTTTTAGTATACTGTTCCTGTGCTGAATTTTTGGGATCTTGATTATTATATGTCTGGGTTTGTTTTTTATTAGGTTGATGTTACTGGGAGTTCTACATGCTTTGGTTACCTGAATGTCAGATTTTTCCCCCATGTTTGGGAAGTTTTCTGCTATTACGTTTGCCCATATTCTTTTTATATCATTTGTATTGACTCCTTCTTTCTCATTGATACCTATTAGCCTTATGTTGTTCATCTTTGCATTGTCTTGCATATGTTGAATTATTTTTTCCTGCATCCTAGTTGTTTTGAAGAGATTTTTTTCTTACCTTTTCATTAGCTGCAATGATGTCTTCAAGGTCTGGAAGTATGTTTTTACTTTCATTCAAATGATTTGCCAGCTTGTGATTGAGATTTTAATTTCCCATGTATAACTTTGAATCTGCTTCATGCAGAGTACTACAGTACTCTGAAAAAAGGAGATTGAAGAGGATATCAGAAAATGGAAAGATATCCCTTGTTCTTGGGTAGGAAGAAACTAAGTCTCATTTTTAAAGTTACTTTGTGTGTATGTATGGTATGATCTGTGTGGGTAGTGAATTCTAATTTTATTTTGTATGGTAAATATAATACTGTTACCTTTTACTACTGTTCCTTTCCTATATTGCTCATTCAAGGAGTCCATCATTTTTATTTTCTTCTATATTTTTTATCAGTGTTTTCTTTAGAAGCACTTAGTACTTCTTTCATTATAGTTATCATTTCTTTTTTTTGCTTCAGAAATTATTTCTGATCCAATTTCCTCTATACTTTTCTGCAGTTGTTTCTTTACTTCAGACACTATTATTTCAGAGATTGCAGGTGTGTGAGTTCCAATTTTCTTCTGTGCTATTGTCTCTTACATTTGTTCTGGGTGGGCTTGGGACTTGAGAATGCATTTTGCTCCTTCTCTTTGTCATTTTGTATAGCACTGTCTTCTGACCTTTGGTGTAGAGCTTTGGAATTATTGTTTTAGCACCAGATCTGGATCTACCAAGTTCAAACTTGTCCGAGTGGGTGTGGCTTAGATCTGGCTTCTGTGATCCACTTTTTCCTGCTGCAGTCCTTGGAAGTGAACTCACTATGCCACTCTGGCAAGATGATCTCTCCTGGATCAGCTGGATGGGTCTTGGCTCTGGCCTCTCTGCTGGGAGTTTTCTGGGTCAGTTCTTTTTGCCAGTACCATGATGGTTTTAATCACAATAGGATGTAGTATATTTTCAAGACTGGAATTCTGATGCTCTCTGCTTTGCCTTTGTTGCCCAGAATTGCCCTTGCTATTTTAGGTCTTTTGTGTTTCCAGATGAATTTTTGATTTTTTTTTTTTTTTCTAATTCTGTGAGATAAGCAGTTGGAATTTTGGTTGAGATTGTATTAAGTGTGTATAACAATTTTGGGAGTATGGCCATTTTCACTATATTGGTTCTAGGTACATACGAATTACCAAAGCTGAATTAAGAAGATAAAAAATTCTAAATAAACCAGAATCAGTCAATGAAATTGAAGATGTGATTAAATACTTACCAACAAAGAAAAGCCCATGTCCTGATGAATTCACGGCTGAATTCTACAAGAAATTTAGAGAAGATTTAATGCAGCTACTTCTCAACCTTTTTAATGAAATTGAAAGGGAAGCAGTACTCCCTCACTCATTCCTGGAAACAAGCATTGTCCTGATACCAAAGCCAGAGAAGGAACCAATAAATAAAAAGAACCAGAGGCCAGTCTCCCTAATGAACACACATGTACAAATCCTCAATCACATATTGGCAAGCAGAAAGCACCAAATCATCAAGAAGATTATTTACCATGACCAAGTAGGATTCATCTTAGGGATGCAGGGATGGTTCAACATACATAAATCAGTAAATGTGCCACATCAACAGAGCCATGATCATCTCAGTAGATGGAGAAAAAGCATTTGACAAAGTCCAACACATGATAAAAACCCTGCAGAAAATTGGAGTAGATGGTTTTTATCTCAATCTGATAAAATCCATCTATGATAAACCAATAGCCAACAACATACTGAATGGACAAAATCTGAAAACTGTCACTCTAAAATCAGGAACAAGACAAGGATTTCCACTGTCACCACACTTATTCAAAATAGTTCTGGAAACAGAGCAAAAGAGAAAGAATAGAAATAAAGATAGAGGAAGACGTTAAGATATTATTTGCAATGACATGATTCTCTACATAGGGAAGACTAAAAAATTCCACCAAAAGACTTCTAGGTTTAATAACGAAATTTAGTTGCATAGTTGGAAACAGAATCAACACTCAGAAATCAGTAGCCTTCCTGGTACATGAATAATGCACTCACTGAGAAAGAAATTAGGGAAATAACACCTTTCACAATAGCATCCATTAACAACGAAATACCTAGGAATCAATCTCATGAAGAAGGTAAAAGACCTCTACACTGAAAACTACAGTACTCTGAATAAAGGAGATTGAAGAGGATATCAGAAAATGGAAAGATATCCCTTGTTCTTGGGTAGGAAGAAACTAATTCTCATTTTTAAAGTTACTTTGTGTGTATGTATGGTATGATCTGCTTGGTAGTGAATTCTAATTTTATTTTGTATGGTAAATGTAATACTATTACCTTTTACTACTGACCTAATCATAATTAAGCTTAGGAAATGCATGATGAATGAATGCAGTGTGTCTAATTTAAATGAGTGCTTAGGTGACTCAATTAAATAAAAGCTCATCTCATAGATTATTGTGCCATTTAAATGGCTGAGATATTTAAAAGTACTCGCTTAAACTAAGAGCCCAGCACATGCCAGGTACTATAGTCAAATCTTGATTATATCAGGATAAAATTCCAAACTTGAGCATGTAGGCAGGGGTTGGCAAGATTATTCTAGAAGAGGCTAAATAAACAGTAAATAGACTCATGGGCTACTTGCAGTCTTAATCAGTCGTCTTATGTGGGTGATGGCAGTAGTGGTGGTGATGTTGTTATAGTAGAACTCTATAAAAATGTAAGGCCATTATTAACTCACACAACCTATATAGAGTCATGTGGTGGGCCACATTTAGCCCATGCATTACCACTTGTCAATTTGATCTACAAGAATAATTCCCATATTAGAATTACCCCAATCTCATTACCCTGTTTTCTGTGAACTAGTTTGAGATAAAAAGCTATGAATACATGAAAGAAGATAAAGAAATGTCTGTGGTTCTTTTTGAGAAAACCTTAAGATAATCACTTTCTTTGAGACAAAGTATAACTTTATTATTATTATTTTTTTTTTTTTGATGTTTCATTGTAGGTATGAAGCCTATTCATGCTGCAGAAAAACAGCTGCTTATAGTGGCAAATGCCCACATGCATTGGGACCCAGAGTATTCTGATGTGAAACTTATCCAGACCATGATGTTTGTCTCAGAGGTTAAAAACATTCTGGAAAAAGCCTCGAGTAGGCCTGGCAGCCCAACTGCAGACCCTAATTCCATCCCGCTGGTGCTATGTGCAGATCTTAACTCATTGCCTGATTCAGGTATTTATTATGTTATTTCTTCTGTGATTTCAGTTTTGCTTTTATACTTAGTTGAAAAGCCAGTTTGTCCCTTTGTGTGTGTGTGTGTGTGTGTGTGTGTGTGTGTGTGTGTGTGTGTGTGTAGAGGGGTACAGAGGCTTTGCATTGTACTGGAGATTGAATCTAGGACCTCGTGTATATAGGCAAGCACACTACTTTTGAACTATATTTCTAGCCACTCTTCTCTTTCATTCCCTAACTTTTGATGAGCTATTTTTTCTAAATTAGAGAACATATCATTAAGAATTCCAGGGATGGGATAATAGGTAATTGAGGAAAGTTTTATAAAGAAACTGTTTCCAAGGGTGTGATCAGGGTTAGTAGAAATAAAACACTGAATATTGTAGTATTGTGCTGTTAGGGGAGTTATAGTCTTTTGGGCACTCCTTCTAAAAGGGGAAAGTGGTGGGGCTGTCATCAGAACTTGGAAAAAGTAGTTAGTTAATTTAGGCAATTTTCATTAAATTTGTTTTATTTGAATGCTAATATTAGGTATAGAAGAATGATAAAGAGTTCAAGGATTTTTTTTTTAGTTCTTGACCACTGAACTACTTATGACTAAAACTTTTATTTCAGATAAAACTAAATTTCTCAGTTGTAAGACATTAAAATATTACACATTTGCTATTATCAAGGCACATTCCAAATTTTGTATATCATAAATAATTAGGTTATTTAAAATCATTTAGTAATAAATGTTTTTTTTTAAATCCTAAAATCTATACTTGGAATATTGCTTAAGATTACTAAGCTAAACATCATCTTCTCCTTAGTTAATAAATGGTGAGATTTTTATTTACAAATGTTTGTTTTCTAACCTCTAGGGCAGATAGCAACTTAACCATGTTTTTCTTTCTTCTCTTTCTTTTATTTTAACATAAAATACTTTAAAGTATGTTTTTCTTTTATTTGATTTGAGTTTTTAAAAGCTAACTAGTTATTATTGGTCACAAAAAGTAGTGATATGACTGTGGAGCTAGCCTGTCAGGATTGGATCCTGGTTCTGCTACTGTCCACCTATGCAATCTATGACCAAGTTCCTCTTATGCATGTTTGTATGTGGTGCTGGGGGTTGAACCCAGGGTCTGGTACATGCTAAGCAAGTGCTATACCACTGACCCTTATCCCTAAATTCTTCATTTTTAATAAGAAGACAGTTATTTTATACATGTCATTGAGTTACTTGTGGAATTCAAGTGGGTAAAGTGCCTACAGTGCTTGGGATTTGTTAGATAAATGATAGTTCCTTTTGAGCTATTCATGATTATTGGCTATTACTCACTATATGTTGCTGTCATTATTGATCACACATAGAAATGACTAATACTAATTTTCACTAATGCTCCTCATCGTAAGGGTTTTAATAATTTTCATGTTTTGCCAGTTCACTGGGAAACTTAGTTTTTTGAATGTTGCTGCTTCAACTTTGTAGACATGACATGTCTTAATATTTTTGAATGGTATCTGTGGCATAGAAGGTTCTTTATTGTATCAGACTGATAAAACTTATATTTCAAAGAGGTATTGTCTAGCTGACTGTAGATATTGAAATGTTGATGATATGGTATCTTTTTATTGGTAAATGTTTTCTAATACATATGATATATTTGAGATTTGGTCTAAACACACATTGTCATTCGTATTGTAGTCCCCTTTTGTTGATTCAGTTATCCCATCATTCTTACCACTTCCTGAAGCCATTCTGATAGTCCTCCTTCATGAGTGTCTTTAGAAGGCATGAGAAAAAGAAATACACAGAATGCTGCTGCCAAGTGCCATGTACTAGAAAGACAGGCTCATGAAAAACATAATGTGTCGTTAGCTACCTTACTATCTAGTTCTGCCACTCCATGTGACTTCTAGCTCTTTCTCCAGAGTCAGATGGCCACCATAAAAGGTAAATATTTTGAATCTATTAGGGCATTGAGACAGCCATGGCAGCACAGTGAAAGACTAGCTTTTATTCACATCTGTTTTATCCAAGAATGTGTCTGAAACAAGGGAGATCATCCCACGCAAAGTTCTCATTAAAATTATTAACCAAACAAGAATAAGTATTGAAGACATTATCTTACTAATAATTATCTTACTAATAATTTACTTAGAGCACCATATAAGTGAGGGTCTTTAATGGTATTGATGTAGCCGTCTTGTTCTGAATCAGTTAAAGACATTTTGCCTTTGATGGTTATTTTGTTATACATAATTTTATTAAATATGTGTTTGATTGCTAATTTTGTATTTCTTTTCTTTTTCTTTTTTTTTTTTTTGCCATAATTTTATTGATAAACAAATAGCAATGAGACAGTTTCAAATCAAATTGGTAGGACAGTTTCAATAATTAACACACTGCATACATTCTTCTTAG